TGATTATACAGTGTGGTCAATTTTTAACAAGACCGTTGATTTAAGATATTTCTCTTTTGGATGTTTAATAACGATTAACGTTGTTATGAACCATGTGTATATTAAACACTGCAACGTGCAAATAACGCAAAAGTAACGTAACGTCAAATATGTGAAACACTTTGGCCAACACAAGTAACACGGTAAGTAAACGGACAAAAGTATTTTATCCTAAATCAAAAGAAACGAATAAGCGCATACGGCTGCTATGATATACTTAAATAAGCATTACAATTGTTTCCAGACTACGGTTTTGAAGGCGACTTTTGTGTTTCGTCGATATCAATAAGTACTTTAATGCAATAAAAACAATTTCTGCATATGTAGTATATCTTATATATTTGCCAAACTATTAGTGTAACTGTACATTAGAAGTAAAACTTTATTAGTTTACAAGCGTTGCTTCGGTGCATGAGTCACCACTTCGGCCTTAACTCGTAAACTCGTAAAAATGGTCTAAGTCGCGTTTTATCTGCTATTTTAAATGTAAAATGAGTTAAAGTAGTTTTTGCAAAATGTCTCAGGTATATCAAATATTAAAAACAATAATGTAATGAACACATTATTGTATTTACAAATATCGATGGCACTCAAAAGTCGCTATCAGTACGCTGTACTCTAGAATGACCTTGAAAAAATAACACTTTTATAAAAATAGTTTTGATGAGGTTTAGATGGGGACCATATGCCGCTTTTCATGGAATGGCACTTACGTGTCACATTGAAGGTTCCATGATTGCCGCCATATGAACACACAGAACTGCGGATGTTTCTAAATTCAAAATTGTACCATTTCATGTTTAAATGTTGAATTCTGCTTAAGCCGGTGCTAGAGGGCGTGGACGGTAGTTTGCACTTGACAGTACCGTTCATGAACAGGCTCAATCAAACCGAGACTGCAACCTTTTCCATTTTGCCGTGTTGGGCTTTCTTTAGGGATTCTTTTTCTCTATTTTAAAATACTAAGTCTCAGCAACCGTAGGCGCCGATTTATTTCTTTAATTTAGAAGCATAATAAAAATAATATTATAGTTCAATTACTTTCCTCTAGCTTAGTGCTCGTTTCGGCCACAGAATTGCACAATTCTGCGTTTCTTTTGCACAATTCATGTTTCATATGCACAATTCTGCGTTTCCTTTGCACTATTCCTGTGTCAATGCACAATTCTGCGTTTTTTGATATACACGTTGTGATCTATAAAATGGATGTATATTTATATTATATTGATGCTTAAATATAAACAAGTCATACAAATTTTCAAAAATAAATCTTTACCAGTTGCAACAAACTAACGTACTCATATTGCAAAATAAGCCCATGAACCAAGCATCACATCCATTCATACTCTCTGATGTTGATCTGTCACAATATTGCTTTTTGCAAGTATCAACACACTGTGATTCGTAAGTGTCACCATACCAACCTTTCGTAAGTGTCACCATAACAACCTGAAAAACATTCGTTTTTACAGTAGCCCGACGATTGAATGCAGGATCTGTTAGAATAGGAACTACTACATGGTTTGTTGCACGTGTCACCATACCAACCAGGAACATATCCGACGCTACAGTGACCCGACTTCTGGATGTAAGACTTATGCCACCATACTAGCCAAGGACACAGCAATTGCTACAGTGTCCTGACTTTTGCATATAAGTTTTATTATAAAATGGGCTACTGCATGGTTTATTACATGTGTCACAGTACCAACCGGGGACACAACCGCCAATACAGCTCCCCGTGTTTTGAATACATGACCTTTTGGTGCAAGTTATGTTGCATGGCTTATTACATTACAGGCATACAACCATAAATGCAGTTTACCGATATTTCGTCGCATTTACATCTACTGATTGAGAAGCTAAACAGTAAATACACACATCACAAGCATTTCCGAAGTATTCTGTAGTACGGTTATTTAAACAAAGTCCTGTGTTCATATTGCATATAATCTTACCTTCCTTATCTGGGAGACAATTATTACATTTACGATCGCATTTTTGCCATCATAGTTATCAGCACACCCAAGTATACAGTAGCCTGTTTCTTTCCCGCATTTCACTGCACCAATTTCATTCGGTAATCTATTTCCACACATGCTTTCACATTTATGTTCGTAATAGCCATCTAAACAATATTCATATCTATGTCACATTCAGATTGGACACTATGAAAGGTCATGCAATGACCACATCTTTTATCACACGCACGAATCTCCGAAAAATCCCTTTTTACAATCGAGACAAAATGTATTGTTCAAGCCAGAAAGACATGCTCCAGGACACGACAAATATTCACCAGTATAAGTATTTCTATATTTATCACACGCAAAACACAAGCAATAGTCAAAGTTGTATATTACTTGCCAAGCATAACAATGTCATGTTCTAATGCAATTCTTGTCATTTGACAAACAACTTATGAAACATCTGCTGTCATAAAGCTGTCTTTCGCACTTGCAACAAAAACTTTCATCAATATTGTTACACGAAAGTGAACATTTTCCTATAGAGATCAATCAATCAGATTATTTATGGACATGTTAAAAAGGTAAAACTAACAAATACTTATTTTCAACAAATCAAATTTTTCAAACTTTTAAACAATAGGTTATGAAAATCCGACAGATAAAATACTTAAACATACGGATGGTGTTTCCAATAAAAGAGAACAACAACATTTTTCTGTAGAAAAAAAATCATATCTTACTTAGTACACGCCTGGTAAATGATAGAGCAACCTCTTTCGGATGTATACGGTAAATCGCGCATGTCGCTAAAATCAAGTGTCAAGTGTTTTCATTTATTACATATTTTGTAAACTCTACACCAAATATCAAAATTCGGAGAATGTTATGCGATGAAGATTTGATTAAAGTTTTCAGAAAACATAAAGTTGTTATATTTGTGTTTGAAATGTTGTTGTAGCGGCATTTCCCAAAATATTTCGTAAAATTTTGATTGAAAATATGTCTTACAATCATTCAATTTAGGAATGCCCACTGATATAGAATTACAATGAAAATTTACAGGAATGGTAGGTAGCTTTTAACACGGGCCATTTAATGATTTTTATTTTGTTAAACTATTGTCAGGACTACTTCTCTTATACAAAAACTTTACAGTTTTGATCAAGTTCTTGGGCATATATATGGGTTTTCCGACTGAATGGTTTTGGAGTTATAGCCCTTGAATAAACAAGAATTTGTAAGAGGTACCAACGTTTCCCGCCTAAGGTCGTTTTACAAGAAGCAAAAAAGTGTGCCTTTTCAAATGATTGAGGTTCAGTGCAAAGTTTTGATAAATGCTAGATCTGCACATCAAGTAAATTCATTAAAGAAATAAAATGAAATAACTCCTGTGTATGTGTGAACAAAAGTACATTTGTATAGTTGTTATCACTATTTCAAAGCCACAAAATGTGACAAATACAAAATCAATACAGGATATGGTCGGTTACAGGGTATCTTTTTAGGTATTTAGGTAAGTCATTGACATTGACCTTTGAGGTAGGTGTTTGGACGCTGTGCATGACATATCATATAATTATTGTAAACATTTGTTCCAAGTTATTTAAAAATCTATAGATTAATATAAAAGTTATATACCACACACAAAATATACCCTTGACCTTGTTAAGCTTTGGCACCTTAGTGTGACCTTGACATTTGAGGTAGGAGTATGGCTGTTGCGTAAAACACATGATCCCTTTATTGTTAATATTTGTGCCAAGTAATTTCATAATCCCATAAACAATTAATGGACTGGACACAAAATAAACGCCATAAAAGGTTGACCTCTAAGGATGGTCTTGACCTTAGATATAACAGTTCTGTACATTGTAAACATTTGTGCTAAGTTTTTTTAAGTCTCTTCATGGATTAAAATTTATGGACCGTACACGACTTTTACCTTCAAATAGACAATTAATGTTGACATTTTGTCATTAAGTATGACCTTGACATAGAAGGTAGGGGTCCGGTTGTTGCGTATGACACATCATGTTATAAAGAAAAAGAACTTGTGTCAATTTATTTCAAAATCCTGTGATAAATGACATAATTATGAACCGGACACGAAAGTTCGACGGACAAACGGACAAACGTGCTTCCTGAGTTGACATTATGGTTATTTTTCTTTGATCTCCTTTGATATCAAAAACCCCATAAGCAAAATATTCACCCCATTAACAACCTTTTACCCCACAAGTACAAATCTGTACGGAATGAACATAGCTATTCATCCCATCCGATATTGTCAATTGAGTCTGTACGGACCGACGATCGGACGGAGCCTATTTTCGAAAAGGCGGGGGACAAAAACGCGTTTTGACCCGAAAATGATTTTATGTCTGCCTCTACACAGTAGCTGCATCATGCAATTGGCTGCCGCGACATATTCTGCTACTGGTCGCACTTGTTTTCTTAGTACCTTATTATGGAAAGCCAGAGTACACCCCGCCGGTGTTATTATTTTCCCTATATAAATACATAAGAAAATAACTTCGCCGAACTTAAATATTACGATCGTCAGTGAGAAAATTACCGAAGTTATTAATGTAAGCGTCGCCGAACGTAAATAATAAGATCGGCTTTTTTTTCCTTTTTTATTTGAACGAAGTTGTTTATTTTACTCGAAGATTTATAATAACGTCGTCTAATTTTCAGACGATGAAAATATTTACGTCGTTGTTGCTATTTTCTGTACATGCGAAGTTGTTTTAGAAATCTAATTAGTTTCGTCAGCATTATATATAAAATCGACGAAGTTATTTTCTTATGTATTTATATAGGGAAAATAATAACACCGGCGGGGTGTACTCTGGCTTTCCATACCTTATACTTTAAAATTTGAATGGTGCAAAAGGAGGGACAAATTTAGCTTAAGGTAACTTTGATCCTTAAACAATAATATTATCAAAGTATTCCTTATCTTTTTCTTGACCTTTTTGACATGAACTACATGTAGTTTGAATATGATTAATGTCTGAAGATAAGACCATCACAAGACACTCGTAAGATATGCATAAGAAGATTATAAGATCTTATAACACAATTATATATAGCCAGAAAATGAATTATCTAAAATTGTGTTTTGTGTATATGATGTTTGTAGAAGGTAAGTTCTTTTGTGATTAGTTACATTTTGTTGAGAGGAAGAAATCCAAAAATGTTCATGTATTTTCTTTGCAAGATATTTGCTGAGTAAAGATTTTAACCCTTTGCCTCATATATACGCGAAACAACGCACTTTCGACCCCCCCCGTCTTTTAGGCCTCAATTAGTGAAAAAATGTCCTATTTAGGCCCTAAACGCATGTTTTCGTTTGAAAAATGTTGCTAAAAAAAGTGAGCACTTTTTTGGGCGCCGCCCCCATCCAAAAGATACATCAGGGGGTTGCCAGAAGGGGGATGTGCCCCCTTCTGTTTGGGGGGTTTGAAGGGGGGCGGTAGTCCCCCTGATCGCCAAAAAAATTTGTGAGAGGCTAAAAATGACCCCAGGTCAATCATAAGGTAACGTGTAAACAACGCTGAAAAGCCTGGGACTCTATCTCAATCCTTGAGAAGTTCAACACTTTGAAATAAATTTTGATGGAAAAAATCGAGACAAAATAGTGATTTTTGGCAATTTTGAGATGTCCCCTCGTTGCCATGGTAACAGGAAATTTAAGACTGAGCATGTCGTTACAAAGGCAACGGTCCAGTCAACATTTGTGCCAAGTTTGAGTAGTATTGAAGCAGTTTTCATAGTTTCATAGCAGTTTGAACTTGTAACAGGAGGCTTTTCAATGAAAACGGCCATTTTTCACAATATGCTCATGAGGGAAAGGGTTAACTAAAAAAAATAAAAATGTTACAAAACAACAATTTTTCACCAAAAATAGGTAAAGGGCACATGTTAACATGGAAAAACTAGATTTTGGGCAATTCCAAAGTTTTTCATCATTTTTTGTTAACTAAAGAAATTAAAAATGTTACAAAACAACAATTTTTCACCAAAAATAGGTAAAAGGCCACATGTTAACATGGAAAAAATTAGATGTTTGGGCAATTCCAAAGTTTTTCATCATTTTTTGATAACTAAAAAAATTAAAAATGTTACAAAACAACAAATTTTCACAAAAATAGGTAAAAGGCCTCATGTTAACATGTTTTTCATCATTTTTTGTTCAGAAGTTTCGTGTATTTTTTTTACATCATGGGACTGCAAATAATTTTTCGAGATGACTATTCCATTTCATTTAGGTCTAGACCAATGACATACCGGTATAATTTCAGATCATTACAGTGATTCCCAAATTAGCAGTTTTAGTGATTTTTTCCCCAAAATCAACAGGCTTAGGCATCTTCCCAGTAAAGTAAAAAAAAATCACTACATAATTCGCTTTCTACGTTTTCCGGAGTAAAAAATGAGCCAAAAGTGAAACATTCGTTGAAATCAATTCCGACACAGACTAGCTCAAAAATAAGATTTTTAATTTATTTCTGAGTACTCTTTTAAATTTTAAAAATATTTTTCAGTTTTGAGTGCCCTAGCTGATCTATGAAAGCAATTGAACTTATATATTTTAAATTAAGCTTTTGAACTTCTTTGAAGTTCTTAGGGTAGTTTGGGGTCCTCCTTGGCGCATTGTTGCTGGGTCACGTGGGGGTTGCGTTCATTAAACGCTGCCTTTCCTGTTGATCTTCTTTATCATATAGCATAATTAAATTGTTGATTGATATAAGAAGTTCACTCAAACGCACACTCACACACGAGCACGTACTCACACAAAAACACACAACCAATAGTTTACATCCGGATATTTTTCTAGGAGTAATATGTGGAAAGACGACACCATGTGAGGACAACTGGGTGGTATTCCAAGGCTCTTGTTATTTGGTCGGGCATGATAACTTGCATTTCATTGAAGCAGAAGTAAGTACTTAAATTAATTATGCCTTATAGAGTAATATGTGGAAAGACGACACCATGTGAGGACTACTGAGTGGTATTCCAAGGCTCTTGTTATTTGGTCGGGCATGATAACTTGCATTTCATTGAAGCAGAAGTAAGTACTTAAATTAAATATGCCTTATAGTTAACGTTACGGTAGTAGATTTAGTCAAATGATAAACTAATAATGTGGTAATACAGTTTTTAACCATTTTCAACCATGATCTGTTCTAATAATAACAGTTTTTTTAACCATGGCCTGTTCTAATAATAACAGTTTTTTTAACCATTGGCTGTTCTAATAATAACAGCTTTTTATCATTGCCTGTTCTTATTAAAAAAACAATTACTGACGTTGAACCTGATGAACTAGTCAATAATTTTATAATATATTTTATATGCTAACAATGTCTAAGTTTATTTGCAGCGCTTTTGTGAACATCACAATGCATATCTAGTCCATGTGGATGATGCTGTAGAAAACACCTTCTTGAAGAGCTACTTGGGAGATCTAAAAGGTTTCTCTATTCATTTTCACTTAAATGGGCAGTTTTACATAATGTGTAAAGAAAAGGTGCGTGATTATATCGTAAACTTTTATCTTAGCAGGGATTTAGGAGCTTGTTAAATAGATTGTTACTTTTTCAGCTCTTTGGTACGTTTAGTCCCATATTTTTCAATTTAACCTGTCTTTTAGCAGATGCAAAACACCCTGTGTGCATATATATGAAGGGGGATTAGTATACTTTAAAGTTTAACAAATCAGATACAAAATAATGTTTCAACAACATTTGTGTTTAAAATGATTAGATGGAAAGCATTGGATTGGACTGACAGACGGTGTAACGGAGGGTATTTGGAAATGGTCTGATACTGATACAGTTGCTACTTACTCAAACTGGAGTCCTGGAGAGCCTAACGGAGGAAAATCCGCAAACTGTGCTGTTATACGATCTGATTTCCACTACAATTGGACAGACGATCCATGTTCGTCATTGTACAAGGCCGTATGTGAAAAAAGGTTCGCACGTTTTCCCCAAAAAGAAATATGATGTTAATTTGCAAAATATTTCGTCTGAAAGATATGACAATACTGTCGAACTTTTATAAGATGATCAGGTTAGGTGGCCACTTCAAGAATGAAATGATAGTTTGTCTATTTTGTAATCAAATCCTAACCCATAGATAATAATGATAGCATATCTGAAATTATAATTCACTGCTATTATTGTCTAAATAATTATAGCGTGTATCCAGCGGAATAATAATCTTACAATCTGACTAATCTTCAGATCTACTTAAGTTATTTTTAGCATGTAAATCTGATTACCACCGTTTTTGTTTTGCCTTCATTGTGATTCAGATTCCCGAGAATGGTATTTTAGTAATGTAATCAAACCGTCCTTTAGAGATAGGCATTAGACGTAATAAAACATCTTTATCCGTAGGAATGCAGGAAATTGCTAATTTATTTGTTCTCAAAATCGTGAACATGACCTACTCAGTATTGGTCTTCCAGCGGTTAGAATTAGAAACCGCGTTGATATCAAAATTGTGAAAGCTTGCCGATCCTTGGCTGTTTGAAAGGTCACGAAATTGTGACAATTTGTTAGTGGTCATAAGATCCGTATGTGTAGCGTTAATAAGGAGCTGATTTTAATCAGATTGGATAATCTTAAAACTATGCATATATTATTTCAGACCTGTAACAGATACAGAAATTGTTGGCTGAGAAAATGGATATGAGAAGTCAATTTCAATAACTTCCAAACAAATTACCAAAATGATTGTAAAATTTTCTTAAAAAGCAAATTTAATCAATGTATATATAAAACTTTTGTGTTGTGTTAAAAGATAAATATATATATTTGTGAATACATCAATTTCTACACCGAAGAACCCTAGAAAATTACTTCCGTATATTTATCTGTATATGCATGTTTCATTTAAATAAAAAAAATTCAGTACCACCCGCCTATATTTTTTAATGATACTGTTTTAGATCATATGATAATCTGGTAAATCTCGGAGTGTATACATGACAAGTGGCAAGAGTTAAGACAATAAGGCAATAATGCATTTTAAAATTTGTGAAAGTAGTGTTGTTTCTTTATTTGTTTATTGTTGTTTTGTTTTGTACTTTTTGCTGTTGTTGTTGTTTTCTGTCCAGACTACCCGTAATTATTTACCATGAAAATAGTATTGACATCCATATTTAATATTTGAGATTACATTGTTGTGTTAACATTTAACTTACTTTTTACAATACTAATTCTACAATGCTAATTAATAAGCCACTACCATTTTTGTGGCCAAGTTTGACACTTTTACTCCTCTTAATGAAAAAATATCAAAATCCATTGCATTAAGATTAAGCTCTCTGTCAAAATCAAGATCTAAAGAAAAAGACTTGATTGATAATGTTATGGTCGATTGATTAATCGTATGTGCGTCGTGGCCGGAAAACTTATCTTTAAAAAATAGGTGTATTACAGACATGATCAAATAATTACAATGTAGTTGTTTTCCCAAACTGTTTAGATAATTAACTATTAATTCTAATTTGATTCCAGTGGACCATGCCTGCAATAATACGAACTATATCCGACTGGAAAATGTTTTTCGGCTCCATAAACGTAATAAACGTCCAGCGTCAAAAAAGTAGAAAAGCTGGAAAATACATTTTACTGCCAAATATAATTAAAACAAGGGTAAATAAATATTGCTTACATTTAATATTGTAAAACGAAAAAGTAACAGTTAATCATTGAAACAGTGAAAAAAGTTAAATAATTGCTCTTATTATAGATATATATTTCATCGCCCGTAAAATGTGTTCATAGCTTTGACTATAGACCTTTTTACAATACGATTCTTCCATAACAACCAATGTTGCGTTTGGCGCATGCGCATTCTGCGTAGGGCAAAAGCGCAATAAAATTGACAACAGTGTATGATACCTTAAGGCTCTAATAGTCGTGATTCCGTGTTATATCAACCAGAAAACATTAATTTTGGGATGACTTAAAGCGGTAAGTACTTAAAACGCCAATTGATATCTATAACAGACATAATAAATATGCAAGACTAATAATCCAATGATCAAAAGGCGCATACAAAAGACGTCTGTTTGAGGTATCATTAGACGACTTTCTTTTTCATCCGTAATTTAAATTTAAACAGCAGGGTGTTAAATTTAAATTTTATTACCCCTGTGGCCAGGCAGTAAGTGTCAAACAGATTGACACGCGACTGTGGTTGTTTGTTTCCAGCTAGATATTGTATACATATCATTCAACCGGAACGTTTTAGAACCGTGACATAGTTAATCAAGTACAATTATGAAAATCGTAATTCAAGTAACTTTTATATATACCGATCTCATCAATATTGATTTGTGAAGTGACAATTAGTGTGACTTGCATTAAAAAAATATTAACACAAAGAGGAACTGGATAAAATGAGTATTTCACTTTCCTTAAAGATTTTGAAAAAAAAAAAAATATCTTAAATATATTTGTGTGACTTAAAAATTATATGTTTTGCATCACAGTCAAATAAATGATAAAATCAGGTAAACTGAACACTAAAAATGCATTATCACCGGGCCTGTTCTGACTATTTTCAGAATGCTAATTAACCTCGATTTCATATGTTATAAAATTTCTTTTATTTATCTTTTTTATGAACTATTTCAACAACAATTTAGTTGACTCCCATTTGAATAAAAGATATAATTCCACATTTTCTTTAAAAAAATCTCAATGTCAGGTCCGTGACCGTAAACGGGCCCACCTTAAGGGGGGAATTCTTAAACAATTTCATTTTCCATGCCTTTATATGGAAGTCTTGGCAACAAAGCTATAAAGGAATCTTTTCTATTTTTGTTAAAAGCTATTTTATATAATTTTCTACCTTTTACCTTAAACTAACTCGGAATTGTCTTTGAACTTCTTCTATATTTCTATGTTAGACTATGCTTTATTTGCCCTACGCAGATTGCGCATGTGCGGGGAAATATTACTTCCGGTCGATTTTTCATAACAACGGACTGCGTCGTAAAATGGTCTATATGACAGGTTCTTTCATACTGTATCTATTACAAAAATATCACTGACTCATTACATTGCAAACAAATAAAAAGTAATAGTCACTCAAACGGTTGAAAAAATATTGAATGGCTCTTATCTAAAATATATCTATTTTATCTCATGTAAAATGCGTTTTTCGGCTTTTCCATGTTTTTGACGCTAGACCGTTACGTTGCCGAAAAACACTTTCATTTTGCATTAAAAACAGAATATTGCTCTAATTTAAACTGGTTTCAAATAGAAAGTAAAATCATTAAAAGGATAGATTTAAGTAAATTGAACTGATTTAAATGAAAATAAACATTTTTATCGGCAGTCACATGTGTTTTTCGACTTTTCCATGTTCGACGCAGGCTCAGCGAACACCTTCTTCAACGATTTTTGTATGATATATTATCGATTTAAAACCGATATTTTTGAACAAATTTCATCAAATGAACATCAGAAGCAGAATTTAACCACAGCCTGAATGTTAAGTGTTTCTCGGTATTTTTTGTTTTTGTTGTTTCGGTGTTTTTCGCAAATTCTATGAACCGCTGTTGAAATGTGATCAATGTACTTTCTTTTAACTGATTAAGTACGTATGCGTGATTAGATTACATTAACTTTGATATCAAAATGATACAAAACGTTTTCTCAACTCAACAAATCATTTAGACAAAAATGACAATTCAAATTAACAATTGAACTCCACATCTTTTCTCCATTTAAGTGAAGTAAAAGTCAAGCTGCCATTTTGCCAATTGATGATCGCAAAACTATGGTGTCTGATTAGTGCCATTTCGTTATTTTGTTTGGTTGTGTGTCACAGGGTGAGAAAAATGTGCAGCCTGGCCAGGACTCGAACCCGGGACCCTCGGAATACCGTACCGCGGCTCTACCGATAGCTATCCAGTTGCTTACACATATTCTTCCCTAATAAGTGAATACTTCTGAACCGTGACATACTCCCCTTCTGTATTGAATTTTTTTCCTTGTATTTTACAGAGTTACAGAGCAATGTAAATTAAACTCTGAGCTATATCCAGTCACGGTCCCCGGTGGGGCGCCAAATGTTACAGGGTGAGAAAAATGTGCAGCCTGACCATGACTCGAACCCGGGACCCTCGGAATACGGTACCACAGATCTACCGACTGAGCTATCCGGCCGCTTACACTTTATCTCCCTTAAATAGTGAACAGTTCTGAACCGTGATATGTGGTTGTTACAAGTAGTAAAAACATAAAAGAGTGACAGAATGAGAAACATATATTTTTTATTTTGTCAAACACTGTTTTTCCTTTTGTCAGTATTTTGTGAATGGGCCCTTCAACCGCGACAAAACAAATATGCTAAAATGAGGAAGGATAGACAATTTTTTTCCATGCGACAATAATAAATCATTTCGCCCGTTCGTTAGCGCGCCATATAGACGATCAAGACATCGCATCTTATAATGTACGAATATTTCCTTATCACATTCTAGCCTCTGCACGATTATATGCGACTGCCGTAAAAATGGAAATATTGCACCCGTCTGTTGGGCTGATGTATATTTGAACATGTGACGTTCATTATCAGTTTTTATAGCAATAAGCATAGTGAATAAAAGTACGTCATCTCCATGCAAATTATTTAACGTATAGCGGTGATGAGGCGCAAGGATCAAATGATAAAATCCGTCTGGTATTCTTATACTTTCTTGTATTTGTTGTAAGTATGTGATCAAAAGTCGATATTACAAACTTTGTGTAAGTGTCTGGTTACTTATTTATTTGCAATCGTTGATACAAAAAGAGAGATATTATTCAACTCGTGCCAACTCGACAATTCAGGTATTAACTTACATCTACGATGCTAAGTACTCCTCAGTTCTCCATACTGTCACACTGTGCGTACAACATGATGCCACTCTCAATTTTTATTTAATTATTTATTGTTTCTTGTTCTCGCAGACTAAAGGCGCGTTGAAATACAGGAAATCCAATATACCCACTTTGAATCTGTAAAATGTTGATGTATATATTTAAATCCGTAAAGTGAACAGCACAACCCACACAATGATACTTTCCCTGACGAACCAATATCGAGAACTACTATATAACATATGGACCCTCGAGAAATATACGCAGACCGCGACGATCGTCTACCAACGAGTCTATTCCCGCGCCGATTATACATTTATTCTCCCCTAAATTAGTAGGAAGTGAGATACTTTCCTGCTATGATAAAGATCATCCTCAAATTTCACAGCTTTCAAAGCAATGTGAATTTAACTCTGAGCAATATTCAGTCACTGCGCCAAGTTTTGCGATAAATGTCAAAGGGTAAAATGAATGTGCAGCCTGACCTTGACTTGAGGAATACCATGCCAAAGCTCTTACCGACTTAGCTATTCAGGGGCTTAAACACATCTTCTCCCCTGAACCGTGACACATTAATATAATATTACATCAATACCTTGCCTTTTTTGAAAACAAGTTAAATACCAAATAAAAGGTAAAGGGAAAAAGTCTTGATTATTTAGTGTCACCCCTACAGAAAGGGCCAGACATTTCTGATTTATGAGACAACTTTTGCATGCATACCAATTTGTATCAACCAACTCCTACCACTATGCCAGGCGCCAGGCGGATAGAAATCGGTAAAAATTCATTTTAACTACCTCGCGGCTCACGAAGCGGCCATTTCGGAACGAGTCCCACTAGAAACATTAATCCTTCAATTATTAAGCCCCAGTCACATTAGAGCTTACGAACAGTGAAGACCAGTTCACGATCACCAGTGACCTCTGGTTGCGGACAATCTTTAAAACGTCTTACGACGGTCATCGGTGATCTTTGACAGTCACAGGTTATCTTATTTAGGTCCCACGACCAATTTCAGTCGTAGGGAGGTTTTTGAGCTTGCACAAAAACTTTGCGATCAAACAGGTCGCTAGTGATCTTATATGGTCTTAAGGCTGTCGCACGATGGTCGTTCGGAAGTGCGACAATCTTACGACAGTCTTTACAAATTGCCACTAGTCACTGATAATCTTAAGTAGTCTTTAGTAATCGTGTAATGGTCGTACGACAAGTTGTAGGTGATCGAATGTTATGTCACGGGTAGTCGTAAGTAATCCAGGCAATCTTGAGACCATCGTACGTTTACTTATGACCTGTCGTGCGATTGTCAATGATGACTTGTCTTACGATACTCGCAAAAGTGAATTTATCTGTGCAAAAATGGTTTTGGTCGCAGACAATCGCTGATGATCG